CAGGGCAAATCCTCCCCCGAGGACTGCGATCAACCTGGTAGACTCAGTCCAGGCAGGTCCAGTCCCTTCCTCCCAGACTGAGCCAAGGAGGCCACCACTCTTACAACCTTCTGTGGTTCACTACCTAGCTGCCTGAGCACTCAGCTTCCCCCACAGTTGGGTTGGCTAGATGGCCAATGGGGAGGCAAGGGCGGGGGCCTGCTCAGTTCTGCCTAAGTTGCTTCATGCGCCCTCTGGTGGCCAGTATTGGTTATGGCAGGCATTGTCCAGGCCGACTGGTCTGTTGTCATCTGATGTCCAGGCTACTGGAGATTGAGCCTGCCTAAGACCTCCCAGGCAGTCTGAGACAGAGTGGGTGTGCATGCGGACACGCGCGCGCACACACACACCCTGCCACAACTCCAGCCACCTTGGCTCCCTCTCAGCATGAGTGCACATTGGGTGCTTGTTCCCACTAAGTAGGAAGCGTCTGGAAGACATGGCCAGTCGCTCTGTTCTCCGAGGGTGCATGGCAGGTGCTGGCAGGCACAGGCACTGTGCAGGCCTTGATGGCTGACTTAGGGCCTGGTTACTTTTCTAGCTGCTCACTTCATCCTCACAGCTGCCTGGAAAGAATGTTCCGCTACTGTGCCTGCTTAATGGAGGAGGAGGCCAGCTGCAGAGAGTGGGAATTGATCCGTGCTAGAGAGTGGCTCCAGGACAGTGGTTCTCAACCTGTGGGCGACCCCTTTGGGGGTCAAACGACCCTTTCACGGGGGTCGCATATCAGATATCCTGCATGTTATTTATATTGTGGTTCATAACTAGCAAAATTACAATTATGACGTGTCAACGAAAATAATGTTATGGTTGGGAGTCCGCACAACATGAGGAACTGTATTAAAGGGTCGCAGCATTAGGAAGGCTGAGAACCACTGCTCTAGGGCCTGCACCTTTACCTGCACCCTGTGTAAGCAGCAGGTGAGTGGAGGTGGGAAGGCCCCGGAAAGTCAGCTGGCCTGGTCCAGCTGGCCGGCCTCCCCTTGCTGACTTCAGGAAGGACTCAGGCTGGAGCTGTGGTCAGGTGTACCAGGCCGTTAGACAAGTGCAGGGCATTTCCTGTGCCTTTTCCTACACAGTAGGACCTCACCACTTCTACTTCCTGTCCCGGGGACCATAAGCTTATACCGGGGTACCCCAGGGTGTATGATTGCTTAGGGGAGCAGACTGTGCCCTGGGCTCTTGTCAAAGTTCTGGAATGTGCCAGCTGGAGACCATGAGTCCCTTTCCCTTTGTGGGCCTCAGTTTCCCTATGTGGAAAATAGTGAGGAAGGACAGGGTCAGAAAAGATAAAATTGATGGGTATGTAGTACATGCCCAGACAGGCAGATCTCTGTGAGTTTGAGGCCAGCCTGGTCTATATAGCAAGTTCTGGTCAGCTGGGGCTACATAGTGATACTCTTCCTGCCTGCTGAGAGAGAGAGAGAGAGACAGAGACAGAGACACACACACAGAGACACACAGAGACACACAGAGAGAATGAGAGATAGGATGAGAGAGAGAGAGAGAGAGAGAGAGAGAGAGTATAAGGATGCAGTTGTCCCTCAGTGGCATGGGAACTGGCTCCAGGGCCCCTGAGGACTCAGAACTCCAAGGAAATTCAAGTCCCTTATGTGACGTGGCATAATGTTTGCATGTGACCTGCACAGACCCTCTCAGAGAGAACTCCATCTCTAGAGCCCTCACAATACCACACAGTACAGGGACTCCATGATAGTTGCTGTACTGCATCTTAGCGACCAAGCCGGGCGGCGGTGGCACACGCCTTTAGGAGGCAGAGGCAGGCGGCTCTCTGTGAGTTCGAGGCCAGCCTGGGCTATAGAGTGAGTTCCAGGACAGGCTCCAAAGCTACACAGAGAAACCCTGTCTCGAAACAAAACAAAACAAAACAAACAAAACAAAACAAAACGTGACCAAAAGTCTGTACACATTCAGTAAGGACACGATGAGTTTTCAAATCAGAGGGTGGGGTGACCTGAACCCAACTAGACACATTTCCCTGCAAATGTTTCCCATCTGCGGCTGGTTGGGTCTGCAGGAGCAAGCCCTTCAGATGTGAGGGCCGGCAGTATCTCCCACTTTTGTTTTCTTTCTCACTCTCTGTGAGCCAACACCACAGGGGAGAGCAAAGAAAAAGACTGGAAACCGAGGGAGCCGGGTCACCAGGGCCAGTCTGTCTTCCCGCCAGCTCTTCCTTGTGTCTCCTGGAACCTCCTGGGCCCTGCCGGCCTCACCTTTGCTGACCTCAGGGAGGAGTCAGCCTGGAGCTGTGGCCAGGTGTCTGCTGGAACCTCAGTTCCATATCCACGTCTCGGGGTAACATGTTCTCACAAGGCCGGGGCAGAGCCTCGGCCACACCTGGTAGCATTTGAGGGTGCTGCTGGAGGTGGAGCCACTTTCTCACACCTGTGGCTCTATGGGGTCCCTCTGGGTGTCTGAACCAGGATCGAAAGGTCGGCTGGGCTGCTCCTGTACTGACCAACGTCCCTTCTCTCATCTCTTACTAGTTACATCCGATGCTACTACTGGGCTGTGAAAACTCTCATCACCATTGGAGGACTGCCCGACCCCCAGACCCTCTTTGAAATTGTCTTCCAGCTGCTGAATTATTTCACAGGTGTCTTCGCTTTCTCTGTGATGATTGGACAGGTAACTGGGGTCACACATCCAGGCACCTGTGGTTCCCCTACCCCAAGCTGGAAACTTCCCTGTGTGTTGTGGCTTTGGGATTGAGTACAGGGAAGACTCCGGCTGAGCCAGGAGCCCACAGCATTTGGGGCAGGAGGATGTCTGTGTCCCAGGACTACCTGAGGTCTTCCTGTTTGAATGCTAGTCCCTTTGGGGAGGACAGTCAGCCAGGTGGCTACGTGGCTTTTTCAAAGGCTGGTGACCTGGGCTGTGTCCTGTAAGGAAACCCTTTGGAGTCTCTGATATGATGGGTAACTTGTGATCTAGTCAGGGCATGAGGCAACAAATGGAGCCCTCAACGCAAACTTGGAAGGGTCCCACTCTGAGAAACAATATGCTAGGCTCAGCGTTCCTCCCTGGGGAGAATGTCTGTACACCAGACTCAGCCTATTCCAATGGGACATCCCACCCCAACATTCTGCTGGGGACCTGAGATAGCCACAGAGGTGTGCAGGCTTGCCCCTGCTCCCAGGGTCCATGTGTGGCCATCTGTGTTTCTCTCCGACTTACCCACGAGCATAGGTCCCCGATCTGGGTACTGCTGCATAACCAAACCCGTGTCCTACCCAGCTCGGGCCCAGCACTCCCCTGACCTCCCCTCGCTGCTGTCTTGCTCCAGATGAGAGATGTGGTGGGGGCCGCCACAGCGGGCCAGACCTACTACCGCAGCTGCATGGACAGCACCGTGAAGTACATGAACTTCTACAAGATCCCCAGGTCTGTGCAGAACCGTGTCAAGACCTGGTATGAGTACACCTGGCATTCACAAGGCATGCTGGGTAAGACTGGCCAAGTCCCAAGACCCCCCACCTCTCCTGATCAACCTTCACCTGATTCCCAGAGTGGCCAACTCTTCCCTTGTCCTCTGTGTCCTGAGGGGTCTCTCTTGGCTGCCCTCCCAGCACTGCTATTAGAGGGACCCCGGGAGGCCAGTGAAGACCCCAGAACACCCGAAGAGCTTGTCCTCCGGACAGCCACTCTCCTCTTGCTTCATCTACCTTGAGATGCAGCTCCATCCAAGGTGGAAGCCATTTCCACCAAGGACGCGGCCAGGCATGGCAGCTCAGACCTAGGGTCCCAGCAGGTAGGGGGCTGCTCCAAGTTTGAGCCGAGGGTGGGCTATGTAGCCAGACCTTGTCTCCGAATGAGCAGAGTGGTAGGTGGGCCCGTGCGGTGGCTCAGTCAGCGGAGGTGCCTGCTCCCAAGTGTGAAGACTCAGCCTCAGACCCTTGGACCCCAACAGCAGGAGCGAGCTGACCTCCACAGGTTGTCCTCCGACCTCTGTGTGTGTACTGTGGTGCGTGTGCATACACACTCACACATACATACGATGTGGGGGTGACAAGTGTTACAGAATAGCGGTTACTGATACAAAAGCTACATGGGGCATCCAAGTCAGGCTTCCGAGAGGAGGTGGCGTTAGTCCTTAGTTTCGAAGGAGTTTGGAAAGGAGGGGAGGGAGGAACTCTCGGAATCTGGAGAGGCTCCCTGCGGCAGGAGAAGCTGAGCTGGCTGGTATGAGGGGCAGGTCTGGCCTGACCCCTGACCCCTGCTGGGTCTCCTTCTCAGATGAGTCAGAGCTGATGGTGCAGCTCCCAGATAAGATGAGACTAGACCTGGCCATCGATGTAAACTACGACATTGTCAGCAAAGTGGCGCTCTTCCAGGTACCGCCCACAGGCGCCCTTCGGCTGGGGGCTGGGGGATCGGGGACAAAGGCCCTGCTTTCCTCTAACGGACTCCTCCCCCTCGGTCTGGACAGGGCTGTGACCGGCAAATGATCTTCGACATGCTCAAGCGCCTTCGCTCGGTGGTCTACCTGCCCAATGACTACGTGTGCAAGAAGGTGAGCTGTGCGGGGTGAGGGGGAGAGGTGGGAGGGTGGGGGTGATGGGGTAGGGGTGGGAGGATGGGGGGTGGGTGCCCCTGCAGGGCCTGCGAGGGTGTCTGCTCACCCACCACAGGAGCCCCACTACAGAGGAAGTATCGTGCCCTGGCAGCCTGTAGGGAGAGCACCCGCCATGGAGGGTGTCCTGGGCTCTGCCAAGTGCTTCCAAAGCTCCCTTCACACAGAGGAGCCAACCTTGCAGAAAAGGGATGGAGGGGCTCTGGCCCACAAAACTGCTGCCGGGGTCTCAGTCTTTCCATCGGGAAAGTGGGTGGTTTACGGCCCTGAGGTGTTTTGTGAATTTATTTAAGTGGAATTAATCCCTAACCTTTAAAAGTTGGAAGACTTCACGTCAAAATCCAAATGTCTGGATGAAGCAGAACATTGGCTAGCTCTGGGCCCCACTTTCCACGATAGCAAGAGTCAGCAGAGGGGCGGGTTGTCCCTGAAGGGACAGGTGACACCCTGTCTGATGCCACGGGCCCCCCCACTCTGTGCCACCCCACCCCAGGCTCCCTTCATTGCATTGAGTCACCTAGGAAACACATATGTTAGCATCTGGCCCTCGGCAATGTCAAGTCCCTTTGTGCTCCCTGCCCAGGGGTCCAAGGTGGCAGCAAGGTCACCAGGGCCAGGGGGTGGGCAAGTTTCAGGTCTTCTGTACAGAGATATTAATAAGTTCGGGTGAGTGTGTGGGGTGAAAATATTCTAAGACTTGGGAGCCTCTAGCCCCTGTCAGATGGGTTCAACCTTTTTAAAAATTAGTATTTGTTATTTTTGAGACAGGGTCTTTTCTATAGCCCTGGCTGTCCTGGAACTCACTTTGTAGATCAGGCTGGCCTTGAACTCACAGAACTCCTCCTGCCTATGTCTTCTGAGTGCTAGGATTAAAGGTGTGTGCTGCCATGACTGGCTTTAAAAAAAAAAAGTCTTTTTAGGATTTTATTTCTACTGATTGGTATGGTCCCCTGGAAGAGCAGTAAGTGCCCCTGACTCCTGAGCTCTCTCTCTGGTCCCACCTTTAAAATTACTTATTGCTGGGGTTGTGGGTCTGCAAGGACAAACACGTAGAAGTCAGAGGACAGTTTATACGGTATTGGACCCCCTTCCTAGTGGGGCGGTGTGGGGTAGGGGGCTTGCCCTCTCCGAGTCCTGTTCTTCTCGTGGATGGAGTTTAGATACTGATAGTGCCTTTTTCATGAGGTGCCTGGGAAGACTGAGTAAGATTTGCCTTTTTGGCACCAAATAGGCTCACTTGCTCTCACTGTTTTCTGTGTGACTTTAGAGTTTGCGGCAGGCGAGAGGTGACTCAGGTGTTGGGGCACAGGTGTGAGCAGCGCCCTCTGCTGCTGGTTCCTCTGTGACTCTCCGAGGCACTGGGATTTGAACCCCCACACTTGGATCCCTTGTAAGACTGAAAAGAGAAAGAACACGAGATTACGGCTGCGGGTGATGTGCAGGAACATTTGTGGAGTAAATTACAGTGTAACAGGGTTCCCGTCACTCTTTTTAATCATGACCTGTGTGATTGACAGGTGGCCGCCAAGGCAGGGTCTGGGAAGGCATGAGGATTGGAAGATGTACAGCAGGTTACTGTTTCTGATTGGATCCAGAGCAAGTCATCTATTCATCCATTCCCTTAGTCATTCACTTCTTCTCTCATTCATTCATTCATTCATTCATTCATTCATTCATTCATCCATTCATTCATTCCTTTGGTTTAACTTGGGGTTCCAGCTACTGTATGCGAGGGCTGGCAGACCAACTGAATGCCCATTTCCTCAGGTAGCAAGATGTTCATCTTCTCTTTGGCTCTCTTCACCTGTGCGTGTTTTCTGTAAGAACGCCAGTTGCATTGGATAAGGGCCAAACTACTCAAGTAGGCCATCTTAATTGAATTACATGTGCAACAACCGCATTGCCAAATAAGGGCCTATTGGGAGGTTCTGGAGACTGGGTTGCAGCAGACAGAGCCTAGGTCTGGGGACGGAGATTAACCATAGCAACTGTGCACCCTGGAGTCAGGCTGTCTGGATTCAAATCGCAGCCCTGGTTCGACCTCGAGTTCCGATCTTGGTAGAACATAATCCTATCCTAACAGGTTCACTGGTGTGATGCACACCCACCAGCGTTAGCTTAGAAAACATGCTGGGGCCTGTGGATCTCCTGACCATTGTTATCATTCCTATCTCAACTGGCCGAGCTCCTGAGGCACTGTCCAAGTAGGAGCTGCAGAATAGGGTCACACCCAACATTCAAAAGAAAGGACAGGGGCCAGGAGGGAGGCGACCCCCACACACCACAGGATCTGGTGGTGCTGGCCTGAGGCAGCCTCGGTGGCCTCAGGGTGTGGGACTCAGCCCTCTTCTGTTCCAGGGGGAGATTGGCCGAGAGATGTACATCATCCAGGCGGGGCAGGTGCAGGTTCTGGGAGGCCCGGATGGCAAGGCTGTGCTGGTGACGCTCAAAGCCGGATCGGTGTTTGGAGAGATAAGGTCAGTGGTGGTGGCGGCAGCAGCGGGGGTGGGAGAGGGGACAGGGGAGGGGAGAGGACAGGGGGAGAGGGAGGGGCAGGGGTCAAATGCACCTTGGGCAAGGGCTGGGGGCTAGATCAGGGGAAACTACAGTGAGTACAGCGCTGGTTCCGGCCAGCATGTGTAGGATGGGTGCCGCCACGATGTACCATGAAGGGGGCGGGGAAATACAGAGTCTAGTGAATGTAAACAAAACCCAAGCCACTAGGTGGTGTATGCCTGTAGTCCCAGTTACGAGGGAGGCTAGCGAATCAGCCTGAAAGAAACAGTAAAATTCTTTAATCCCAGCATTGAGGGGGCAGAGGCAGGAGGATCTCTGAGAGTTCAAGGCCAGCCTGGTCTACATAATGA